CATACGAGCCTCGCTCGATATGTCTCATTGTCGAATATTATGCCCATACCAACTATAGATACCAAGAGTAATTTGAGTCAACTTTTACCATAATGTTCAATGACGTTTTTTTGGTTTGCTGGCTAAATATTTGAAATTTCTTACAAGCTGTTATTTCACTTATTACTAACAGCTTATATTGGCTGTAATCCTTTATTGACCGTATAAAGTACTCTAAAAATTCAACATTTTTAAATATATAACCAATTTGTGCAATCAATTCCCCACTATTCTAACCTTAATCAATTTCAAGGTTGTTACTTGTAATTATTCGGCATAGGTACTTGCATTTTATTTTTATTCAATATTATATTTTACTAATTATGTTAGTGAAATTGGCCTCTTCGACTACACTTCACCTTTAACTTAAATATTTGTTTTTGTATTAATTATCATTTTAAGAAAGTGTGTAATTATTTTATAATATATTGATGAATTATTTTGATGTTCGTGTTGATTAATAGTGTACTAAAATTGAAAATATATTTTAATTACCTACAACTTAATATATAACTACCACATTCACATATATCAGACTTATCAGAAGTTCTAACATGTAAATATTAATAATAAACAGACTTATCCATTTAGCGATAAACCTAAACAGATAATAACACTGACTTATTAAAAAAAGTAACGTACGTACAGGCTACAACTTATATTTTAATTTAATTATCATATGAATATTTAAATATAATATTGCATATCGAGTGATTGAAAAACAAAACATATAATTCAACTTATTACGAGTAGTTAGTTTTGCTATTATATAGTACTATATGTACATAATATATATAAGTACAATATATGCACGAAGGGCCATTTTCATGTCATCTCCTTATTTAATTTTTCGGTTGAAAAGTACGTAAAAGTGTATAACTGCAATCGTATATTTAATTCGTTTTGTGCAGGTATACGTGTATACATGTACCTAAACCAGTATATACACATACTAATTATAATGCATCATTGAGTAAAATAATTAAACTTGCAGCCTTTCTAATAACAATCAATAGACACGTTTTAAACTCGAATTGAAAAAATAAATACATAATCAAATAGATATTTTGTATATAACAAATATAAATATACAATGGTATATAGTGAAACCAAGTAGTCAGTCCCAAACCATAATAATAATCATGAATAATCATTTGTATTTATCTGTATAAATAGTCATTGATTTATTCATACTTTATAATCGACGATATACATTATACAATGGAGCCACTCGATCGTCGGAAATTAATCGAGTTTGTTCGACACTTTTCATCGAAACCTAACTGTACGGTGCCCTCAACCGTCAAAGGATATACCTACACTATAATGTCCCTTGATAGAGAATATGGATGCAGGCGAGATATCCGACGCTTTGACCCCCCCCTCCCCCGGAAGTGTAAGTGAATGACGGACGTCCCCTTCGTTGTTAAACAAATATTTGAAAAAAGGGTACCTACCAAAAAAACGGTTTTCTAAGGTAGGGCTGCCGCGGTTGTCCTACAAAGGATCATATTATATTATCGTTCGTTCGAGCGGCGTACAGACAACATAATAATATAATATAATAATATAGTTTATCCGGGTAGGCGCAAAAACGAAAAACAAAGAAAAATATTATAGAAAATAGAGAGAAAAGAAAAAAAAATGAGCCGCAAACGACGAAACAATATACGACGCGTCCGTGTGTGGCACGACTATACTAAAAACGCGTTATACATATATTATACCAAACCATCGGTGGGGTGGTCCAAGCGGGGACCGGTATAGGAATATATAGCTAACCAAACAGCGGAGGCCCGTGTAAGTGTGAGTGCGTGTGTGCGTGGCAGTGCTCGTTGTTTTATCGATTAGAAAGACTTTTGTGCGTGCTGCGTGGACGTGGTGAGGTGGTACGAGGGTCGGTCGCTGGTCGAGGAAGGAGCCAGTGGCGTTTTGTAGGAGCGTAATCGCTAGGGCTTACCGTTCCAACACCTGAGACACGCCGAAATTACACGGACTATACTCGACAACGACGACAATAGTTATAACAATTATTATGTTCTTCAAATCGATTAAAAAAAAAAAAAACGTTTTGACCGCTTTCCGGTTCCAATTATCGACGGCATTAGCACCGGAAACGTGTTTTTCACATGAATTTGTGTGTGTGTGTGTGTGTGTGTGTGTGTGTGTGTGTGTGTGTGTGTGTGCGCTCGAGTATGGTGTTGACTGTTACGACCACCTACAACTACTACTGTATGGTCACATTTATAAACTAATTGAAAAAACATTCTTCGGGTTTCTTTTGAACAACTTACTATTATACACTTATAAAATAAATAATATATTCATATAAATATAATGCAGTTGTCACTCAGTCGTGACTCTCTTGTTGCTATCGTTGCTGTGATAGTTACCAACTTACTGATGCTTTTATTGATCTAATAAAATTAAAAAAATATATTTAAAAATTAAGTTATTTATCGATATTTTCTGTACTACTGTATAGTATAATATGTATTTGTTGGGAAAATAACTATAATTGTAGCTATTTTCTACCTACAGATGCATGAAGTCAAAATACACACCAAAGTATATAAATGCCAATGCAATTTATTTATATTCATATACTTTTGATTGTTTATTGTTCATTTTTAAAGTCACTATAATTTATAAATCACTAATAACTAGGATTAAAACCGATTAGAGGAAACAAAATAATGTGTAGGTACTAGGTACCTATGCATATTGTGTAATATATAATATTATAATAGGTACAATATATACATTATATATAAATCATTTTACATATTGTATACACTATATTATATCCTGCATCAATAATCAATATTATTTTTGTGATATTCTCATTTCCTATAGTAAAATAAATCGTAAACAGGTAGCGGTTATGGTTTGGCTAGTATTGAAGTATGGATTATGTTTGAACTCTACAAACATTGAGAGTAGCATTATACATAATATCAACGGTAATATAATATTGTAATGTCATCGAATTAATTAAACCTTAATCCACCATTATTTCGTATATCTTATTTTCAATAATAATATAATGTAGCCTACTAAATATTTCATTTACTGACAACAGTCAGTATTTGTCAAAGTTAATTTATTGAAATCAGCCCAATTTGGCTTTTGCACATGTTATTAAATTTGATTAGGTTATAGTATTATTATATATATATATATATCATATCATTATGGTTCAATGTAATTAATTTTAAAACAAAAATTCGCTGTATGGAAATAAAAAAAAGGTTGATGGATTAATTATTATTATGGTTGTGGCGTGTGCTTTTCTTTACCTTGTTTTTAATTACTGTACTAATTAGTAATTTGTATTTAACTGAAAGACTTATTAACAATGCTGATCTCAATAATATTGAAACTTAAATAAAAATAATTTGTTACATTGATTGTTAATCGTTACTAGCTTCTGGGTTATATTTAAATAACTATGATAGGTACATAAAATGTATTAAATTAACAAGATTCAAGAGACAAAATCACTCAACATTTATGGTTTTAGTTGAAATGTATATTACCATTGATTTTATTATATTAAAATATTAATGATGTTACTCATTCTTTGGTATTATGAAAATTAAAAGACGTTATAATATTCTTGTAGGGTTAAAATATATATATATGTATTTATTTATGCCATATAAACGTGTATACTTAACAATAGGTAAATATTATGTTCGAAAAATAATTTTGATAGTTAAATTTAATATAAAACACTGTGTAGTAAAAGTTCATAATATAATAGTAATAATACACAACATTATAGTTTTGATAATACAATTATTTATAAAACATTTTGTCATAAAAGTTCATATAATAATAATAATGATAATACAGAATATAACTTTGATAAGACAGTAAATAATTCCCGTTATGCGTTATTATTAAACAGTACATTATTTAATTTTATGTAAAGCTTTGAAAACAATTATACTCGGAATTATTCGGAAGATAATATTATTGAGTACAATTTCAAATAAAAATGTTCAAAATAAAAAATGGGTCACATTACCTAAACAAATGTTAAAAACCAGTAAAGTACCTATACCATATATTATAGCGAACTATTCAGGTATAATGGCTATAATAATATGGTATGGAGTGAAGAGCAGCAGTGGAGTATTTAAGGATCTTACGAATGGAATATATTATTATGATGGCGGATGCAGCGCTGGCCTAGACACACTAACTTGTCGAGTATACACGCGTGGTCTAAATACACAGGGCGGTGACTGTGGAGGTTTTTTTTCATCAGCTTCATAATTATATTATAAGTTATGAAGCTACATGTGGAGATAACACTGCAGCTCACTCTGTATAATATTGTATTATTGTACTCGGATCGAATACACAGCGCGTATACCGGACAACTACGAAATTCGATTGAAGCGTTCAGTACGCACATTCGCAAGTCATATAATTTAATACTTTTCATGTATTATCATATTAGGTAAAAAGGCAGATGAGATTCTCACTTCGGTGTATAAGTTTAACGGGACTTTGTGGATTGTAAAGACAATAATATACTGTCATGCAGGGTACCGTGAAATATCAAAAAATAATATAGGTTTTAATAAAATTGAAAAAAATTGAAATCATTAATGTATCTAAACAAGTATATTTTTTTTTTTTTTTTTGTACGTGAACCGCGTGTTTCAGTGTTTGTAAATGATATTTGAACTTGAGTTATCGGCTATATTATTAATTTAAAAATATATATATATATTTAATATAGGTATATTTCGAGTAATTTTCTCACTCCACTGCCAACTTTAATCTACACTGACTACTGGTAAGCCTGCCGTATACTTAAAAACGAATGGATATAATTTTTTTTATTTTTGAACGATGTAAGAAATACAAACTGTTTAAGGAAGACTGTAACGTAAAAAAAACCCTATTAATATTACAATATCTGATGGCCTTACCGATTATATCTATTAGTGTGACCAGAAGCAATCGACGTTAGGTCTGACGGCGGCGGCGGTGCGTACGAAAAATCTGCTCACCAACTCCCTTGCTCGTTTCCACAGAGATTTCCTGACGGGTAGCTTGTGGCCTGAAAATTCCGAGGACCAACTGCCCAAAGGTGGTCGAGTTGTTGGTGGTGGCGTCGGCGGCGGTGGTCGACTCGGTGCAGGTGGTCGAAGCGGTGGTGAAGGAGCTGGTCGGCCTGGACGAGACAGCGGATGGTCGTACTCCCTAGTAACATTTTGTAATTTTAATAATGTTATACTGATATTATAATCACGAATAGTATTAGTGTGATGTTATAATAATATTTTTAAACAAAAAATGTCTACCCGGGCTGCGTCATTGACGCGGACGACCAGTCGTATCTGTCCAACAGCCGGTCGATGGGTCTGACCTTGGACTGCGGCACGGCCAAGTCGAGTATGTCGACGACGCTGTTGTTGATCTTGGAACTTTTACCGATGTGGTTACGACTGCCGGCGCGGTTGTTGTTACGGTTACGGTTACCGATGTCGTTGGAATATTTCCGCGGCATAATAAGTGCCGGCCCGGCGTCGGATGCACCGGTGGCCCAGTCCGACCCGGCGGTTTCGATTTCGGCTTCCACTGCCATCGGTGTGGAAAAAAAATGTTTTTGTCGGGTTAAATTGCAGTGAAAAAAAATTGCAACTGTTGCTAGTGTCACCGGTGACTTCGACAAATCTGCAAGAGACCGAACGACTTACGAGAACGAATTGGAATAATTAACGAATATTTTTATACCTAATATTTGTTATTGGCCAGTGACGAGACGATATGTTTCGTCCGTACTGCCCGTGCGCCGGTCGAATAATAATATTATAACCAGCGCGCGGCGGAGCGTCTTCTCCCTTCGCGCACAACGGAAATGTTCCCAAATGTCAGTCTTAAGCCAATAAACGTATATTATAAATGTTATCGCGATTATTAATGTGGCAATTATTTTATCACGAAGAAATAATGAAAATCGATTTTTTTTTCTTATATACTTTTCGTTTCGTTTCCGTTGTAGATAACTTCTGAGAAGAGATAACTATTTTAATAATTTATTAGTTTGACAGCAGATTATTATTTTTATATTGTATATAGTACGAATTTAATACTTCAACAAAAGACGGCACTAAAAATTACATTAATTTATCTTTAATAATCAAAATTGCTAGTTATTATGGTTTTGTAAGCTAGTTCTTATTGTATTTAAAATTTAAATGCTATATTGTAGTTATTATAATGATCAATGACGACAGAGTAGACATTATAGGCTATTAGAGAAAATGAATAAGTTGGGATAATTATTTAAGATATATTATTGCCTTAAAAAAAGAAAATAATTAATACATTAATACGGGATCATTAGTTTCAAACATCATTAAATGATAATAATAAAATATATTATCACGATTTGTAAAGTAAGTAGCAATATTGAAGAAATAATGAAAATCGATTTCTTTAATGTAGTTTCCGTTTAAGAAGGAATTACTATTATAGTATTATGATAATAGTTTGACAGAATATTATTATTATTATTTTATAATGTGATGCGCTGGTACAATATTAATGGCACCAATTATTTTATCTTTTAAAAATAGATTAACAAATGGTTTCTAAATTATTAGAGTATTTTAATTTTACTAAAGGACTCGTCATATTAGTAACAAATAAAGGGAAACGAAATGTCAATCAATCAATCGAAGCTATATTTAGTAAAAAAAAAATATATGACAAAACGATATTAATATAATAAATTAAGTATATGTATATTGTTTCCATTATTTTTATACCAGATAAAAAATGTTATATTTTCTTATGTGTTTATCAAATATTGTATCTTGAATAGTTTTAAATTTATTTAAATAATAATAAATATACAATATTATTGACTGTTTCCCTATGCTGTGATAATAGTAAGTTGATGATAATAAAAAATAGTACCAATGTTAGTTCTTCACTGTCACGGGGATGGGAAATTTAATTTGACAAAATCAAAAAATTCGTTGGACTGGTAAATTAAAAATTAAAATAAACAGATCAAGACTACCGCAGAATCATCGAAAAACAAAATCACAATTTTTGAGAATAGAATTGTTGGTTTATTATGGAACGTTTATACCAAAGAACAATTGAAAAACAATTATTAATTACTAAAGGTTAGATAAATGATATTATTTCCATCCTTACTTGAAGGATGCTTACGCAAAATATATAATCAACTTCATCAGAATTAATATTCGTAATTTATATGCATATTAGGTATTTCGGTTTCAGGTAAGGTTATCATATACGACTGCGTGGGCGCAGTTTCAGTTTTTACTTGGAGGGGCTTTACATATTTTAATGAAACAGACAAGCGAGGAGCTCTGCCTCTCCACGGTTCCACACCCCCTGATCATATTCCTTTAAAATGTTTTACTTTATGTAATATAACATAATATATTTATCATTTTAATTCTCACTCAATTTCCTACATTTTATAATATATTATAATACATCCCTACCTATTACTAGAATCAAACATATTTTATTTAAAGCTAATAATTACAATATTTAGGTACATCATGCATAATAGGTTAGGTAAGGTAACATACTAATTTAAGGCTTGTAATATTTACTGAAATTATTTATGTGATTTATTTATGAAAAAGAATTATTTGTAATCTAAGATAACTCATGGGCCTCCACACGAGTTTTTCTCAGTGAGGCCCATTAATCTTTCGATATTAATTTAAATAAATAAAAATAAAAATAATGATATAATTATATTGTAGTAACTGTCGATTCAAAATTTAAAAAATGACCACTGCTATCAAGTATTGACTAGGTAGCTATATTCTAAGGCTCTAAGCAAATAAAAATATTATCAGTAATACCGGCTATAGTTTAATTAGTAATTACTTATTTGTAATACTATTATTAAACCTATATTCTATTTTGTGGGTGGATCCGATATTCACTATGAGAAACACACGAATAATGAATCCGTTGTTCAAACATTAAAAATAATTTCTTCAAACAACGTTTACTGGATTATTTTTGGAGGAGCTAATCCCCAATAAGTGCCCCCTAATTCCACCTCTGGATGTAACTAAAAAATAAATAATCATATAGATACTTAGAATTTACACTAAATGTGCATGTTAGCATTTTCTACATAAAAATGTTGTAATAGTTATGTAATAGTTATTATTGCTGTGTAGTGTGTTGGCCATCGAAATATAATAACAGAACTTTGTACTGGCATAGTTTGCCAAGACCATGTCGGTCGGGCCACTTGACGTCTTGGCCGAAACGAATCACCGACAGACGGTGAATCGATCGATACCGGATCCTGCGTCGAGGCGGCAGACGGCTACAACTCGATATCGAACGCATCACCCGCAAAAGCCGTTTGCACTGCGATGTTCGGCATTGAACCGTATCGCCTATGGTCGCAGGAACAACGAAATCTCCGTAGAGACTTACCAACACGATTTAGCACGTCGGACCATTTCTTAGCTCGTCGAAAACTCGGTGCATCGCGATCAATTTGGCGGATGGTGAGCGAATCTCGACTTCGAACGATGCATTCTGTACGGCAAGTGTAGCGATATTTGACATGATCATAGATGTCTGCAGATATCTGCACTATATTAATATATTATATGTAAGTGCGTTATAACTTTTAGGGCCTTTCTCACCATCTCCGGTTAAAGTTAACCGACACTTATAACTGATGGAATTATGCCGGTAATAAAATCTGTCATCAGCCGGTTAGTGTTAACCGACATTTAACCGGACATTGTAAGAATATAATGAATTATTCGTATAGTGTTAGTTGTAACAATAGTTAGGTATAATTTTATACTGTGACGCACAAACGAATAATATACGTAAGTTACCCCAGCACCCCAGATATAATTTTCAAAATTTTTTGCGAATATTTAAGTATGCAATTAATATATGAATTTGCATTTTTTTGTATACATTTCAAACACTATCTAGCTGCCCATAGCAATACGATTTTAAAAACTTCTGTCTCAGAAAAAATATATTTTATGTATAGTTAAAATATAATTTGATAACCTTTATATTTTGGTAGGTACTAAGTACCTATTTGTTGAATATTTACCAGAATGGATTTACTTTTAACAGAACCGTCATAAAAACTTAGTAAGTAGGTAAATTCAAGCAATAGTAACTCCGGACAATAAATATATACCTTAATACCGCGCAACAATTATAACTATTTACTGGTAACAAACGGACTGACAGACACGACTATATTATGTTTTATGGGTGGATCCGATTTCTACATGAATAATGAATCGTTGTTTAAATTTTAGAAAATAATTTCTTCAATCAACGTTTGCTGAATTAAATGGATCAGATAAATAATAAAGCATTTAATACTTCAATTAAAAAACAAATTTTTGGAGGAGCTAATTTTAAATTGGAGAGGCTAAGCTCCTCCAAGTCCTACCCCCTAAATTATGCCTATGTAAATATGTAATGCGAGAAAAATACTAAACAATTATACCATACAGTGATTAATACAATGTTAGTAATATAATAAAAAGTACTAGTAACTAGTAATTACATATGTGCATACGCTTAGATTATATTGCCTATGCTGAGCTCCTTAAAGCATTTTACACCATCGTCTGGCCAAAACTTATGTGAAAAATAAAAATCTAAAATTATATAAAAATTATAATTATAAAATGTAAATTAATGTCACTTTAAATAATGCTAATTATATAATGTTTTAGCGTTATCTAGTTTTTAAATAATTTTATAAAAAAAAAAAATAGATTACATTGTAAACTCTACAACAATAAAATGATTGCAGTTCACCTTAAGCTCATTGCATATTTTATTCTATATTGATCTTATTAAAAATTATCTATGGCTTGTGGCTTACACGAGTGATAACTAATAGTAATGAGTGACAAATAGTTGTGATTTTGAGTACTCGAAGGAAAAAACACTGGTAAGTGCGTCGTTGAACGACACCAATAACGTTGACACCAGGACATATGCCTCTGGGGAAATATTTTTCGTGTCGGAATTTGATGAGCGTTGCTCCAATAGTGCGCACAACAATTATTATATGGGACACACCGTGAACATACGTGCAACAAGTACGGAAAAATATATCAGAAATAGATTAATTATCTTGTGACGGTCGTCACCGATCGACTCATCGGATGATCAAATTAATCCATCAATAACGTCTCGTTAGCATAATATACAATATACAGTATACACGAATATCGGAATATATAATAATATTAAAGAGCTGATATGGATATTATAGCTATGTCAGGTCGTAATTTAGCTCCGGCTACATTTCACCGGTTCTCCTTATAAATATAGATATTGAATATCTGTATAAAAATCGTGGTGTCATAAATTCTACTTTCTTCTATAGTCTCACTTCATCGTTAAACTCGCAATAATTCTAATCGTGAAAATATCGTAGATAATTTGCAATTCTGCATTCCTACTTAATGGATTACATGATAGGTATTCAGGTACATAGTTACATATTGATATTATACACATTTTCCCGCAGTGGTTGTAATCTATATGCTCTTTAGGATACACTTTGCAATTCCAAACTATAATGTATTTCAAATATTATATTCTAAAAATAAGTCTCCGTTGTATATACACAACATCCAGATACTATAAATAAATTGTGCATAAATTCTACGGCGTGTTCAGGACATCGGCAAGTTTCGCACGATGGAAATTTGCATATTTAACTGAAGTACAAGATCATTATGTTCAATATAATGTAGACTATTCCAACAATTGCAAATACATTTATCTGTGGCGAACAGCGACTTATTAGTTATTACAGCCGATTATTTTTACTGCCTACGCAAATGTCATTATAATATAATCTGTGTTGCACAACGATATAACTAATATATTATCTAGTTTAAGATGAAAGATAGTTATGATATAAATCATTATCTAAGTATATTATCTAAGATAATCTCAACTTATCTAGTTAAAAAAACCTAGTCTAGGTTTAAATAAATAAAATTTAATATTTTTAAAACAAAAACTATGAATAACTTAGTTTATATTTTATAAACTGTATACTTATTCAGTAATTACTGGAGGCATAATTAAATAAAGGGTTAAAAATCATTAAAATATAAAATTGAAGTAACTATAATTGTTGAGATTCGAGATAAGTGTGTGAAATTCCAAAAATTATACTATTGTTTGTTGATAACTTTTATAAATCATTGATAACACGTTGACTGCCATGCGACCGCCGGCGGCCACATAAAAATAATTACGTATCGATAATTTTTAGGCCGCCGGCTGCCGCACCATATCATTCCTAGGAGGCCATACGGCCGCGGGCTGCCATAAATGAATTTAGATTTATATTATTAGCTTTTCCATGGCGCTACAATAATGAACTGAAAAATGCGCCGTGGCGTAGTGGGAATAATTACAATTTTTTTGATGTAATAAACATATTTTTAATATTTTTTTTGAATTTTTTAGTTAACATACAATTCAATAGTATATATACAAATTTGTAATGACACTGGAAAATTTGCTTAGCGTATCAATGATACATATTATTATGGCCGCTGGCGGCCGCCGGCGGTCGCATGGCAGTCAACGTGATAATTACAAATCTTAAGCGATATTATATGAGATGGAACTTATTTATTTAAGTGTCATATATCTATATATGTAATCATTTTAAAATAAACCAACCAATCACAAGTAGTAGTATTTGGGTCTTAAATAATTAAGCAACCAATGTATTAAAGAGCTCCATGTTTGAATTGACTGGATCGTCTTCTCATTTTTATTTTATTACAAACTTAGGTAAAACCAAAAATATATACACAGCAACAAAACTGTATAAAACCACAAGAAAATCGAAAATACTGTTGATAAAAAATGCTTATTTTATATTATTTATACTATGCCATACAAGACCTAAAATATGGTTAAAGTGAATAACAACTTTTCATATTTTGAAATACTTTTTCGTTACATGACTGCGTATAAACTATAAAATATTAACGTAGCAATGATATTGGTATAATAAAAACAAATAATTTCAACATAGAAATATATTTGAAAATACATTGAAATATTTCGTCTATAACAAATACCGAATTTCAAAAAGCCAAGCCAAATGAGATGACGGAATTCAATGTTCAACCGAACTAAAACAGAACTGCTGAATGTAAAATTTCAACAAAGTAATGAAAAAACTATAAGATAGAGAAGTTGTTATAACTTAAAGCATTCACGTTTACTTTTTGTTTTCAATTTCTTATCCATCTCATTTAAATGCCTCGTGCCGTGGCCTATTACATTTTATAGAAATGTTCAATGTTTGTTCGATAGTCTTGTGATGTTCACAAAATCCAAGCATAAAAATTAGAGTTTTTAAGTCGGTACAAAATCATGCCATGGAAATCGTGTAGGTTAATTACGTTGATAAACCACACGAACGCAATATTATTATTACTTCATATTTTGTCCTATGTCTCCTGTAGAAAACATTTTAGGTACCTACTTAACATTTATTTATCTGGAAATATTAGATAAGATAACACATAATATACGAGTGACGTGTCCAAGATAATTCATCGGATTTTTTAAAACTATCTATAGTTGCCTAGATAAGATAATATCATTATATAGTATGATTTATTATTGATTCAGACAAATTATCCCTTATCGATAATGACACATTAATATGCGTAATATAAAATATTATGTCTACTCAAATTTTAGCCGACAGTGTGGGAGACTGCAACGCCGTGTACCGCGTGTGCACATCCGTGGTAAGTGGTAATATAATAAATCAAAATAAATAAAACCAAAACTGCGCGGGGTCCGTCGAAAACCGCAGCGCTTTTGATGATGACTATAATAATAATAATAATAAGGCATTAATGGTCGCGCGTAGTGCTCTTTACCTACAAATAAATTGATTTACCACCCGTTCCTTTGATGTGACCGGCGGCGCTCGGGGAACGACACAAACGCACAACGCGTATAATGGGACTTAATGGATTGTACCTATACACCTTGCGATGTTATAATATTATACGCATTTATATATATATATGTATAGTATATAGGTAATAATTTTCACCTTTGAACGGCGGCCGACGCGACACGTCTCGCGCGATGGTGCAACGATAATAGTAGTAGTAATAGAAAATATTAATAATGGGCATTTTACATTAATATTTGACTGTAAACTCGTGAAATATTAATATATTATACATCATATTATCGTATAGTTATTTTTTTTCTCGAAAAAATAAGTTTTCTTTTTGTCTTCTTTTTTTTTTTTTAATAATAATAATATGATACTACTTTTATTATCCGACGATAAATTACGATTCAAATTACGCGTCGTCGTAGTCGTCCGGGCGGGCTCGCCCGAAAATATTATTACGAGGGCCGTGGCCGTGTTTCTTTTCAACGCGAGCCGTATTCTTCTCGGCCGTGCG